GATTCACTTCCCCTCTTAATATTTTATTGTAAGATCTTCTGGACAGGGAAGTCCTAAGCTAGGCAGCCTTTTAAGCATTACAGTGATAAGATGACCTTAATAAATATCACACCTCTTGATAGAGCTTATTGTGTATACTTCTACCCCAGTCAGCAGTAAGTTGAATAATTTTCAATTGCAAGCTCTTATGTATATCATCTCCTTTGGTTCAAGCTGCCTCACACAGCAGCCACATCTACACGAGACACTGACTGTACAGTTGTTACTCCGCAGTCACAGACTCTCAGAAGTTTAGGGCTGGAAGGGATGTCGTGAGATCATTGGGCCCAGCCCCTCTGCTCTGGGCAGGATAACTCCAGCAAGGTGCGTGTCCAGTCTCTTTCTGTGCCTGCACCCCACTTCCCCCTGCTGGGAGTCTATTCCAGTCTGGTCACACGAACCACGAAGAAGTTTTTCCTTATATCCAGTCTGAATCCTTCGTCCAGGAGTTTATGACTCTTGCTTCTGATTTTCTCCTGGGGTGCTTTGGTGAATAGTTGTTCACCTAGCCTCTGATGCTCACCCCTGATGTATTTGCAAGCTGACACCAAATCCCCCCTAAGTCTTCTCTTTTCTAGGCTGAACGGTCCCATATCTATCACCCTTTTCTCATATGGCTTGCTCTTCAGGCCTCTAATCATACAACTGGCTGTTCTCTGGACTTTTTCAAGCTTCTCCACATCCTCCTTGAAGTGTGGTGCCCAGAAGTGGATGCTGTACTCCAGCTGCAGCCTCATCAATGCTGAGTAGAGCGGGAAAATAATTTCCTTAGTTTTGCTTGAGATGTACCAGCCGATCCATGCCAGCATATTGTTTGCTCTGCTAACTGTAGCATGACACTGGTGGCTCATATTCATTTTATGATCAATTATGACCCCCAGGTCCCTTTCAGATGTGGTGCTAGCTAGCATCGCAAAAGCCTGTAAGTTTGTCATGGACTTTTCCTCTTCGGATGGAGCAATTTACGCTTCTCAGTGTTGAACAGCATCTGGCTCTGGTCCGCCCATCTAACTTATCTGCCTAGGTCCATATGGATCGTCAGCCTAACCTGATGTGTGGCCACACTTCCTCACAGCTTAGTGTCATTGGCAAACTTTGCCAGGGTGCTTTTCACCCCCACATCCAGATCACTGATGATGTTAAAAAGCATTGGTCCAACTACTGAACCTTGGGGGACCCCCACTGGCTACCTTTCACCAGGTCAACACAGATCCATGTATTAGTTTCTCTGGGTCTGACCCTGCAGCCAGTTTTCCACTCATCTGACCACTGAATTGTTGAGCCCATAGTCCCCTACTTTTACCTTCAGAGCCTTATGAGACACCAAGTCAAAGGCCTTCCTAAAGTCCAAGTAAATGATGTCGACCTCATTTCCCTTATCCAGGTGGTGAGTAACCTGGTCGTAGAAGGAGATGAGGTTAATCAGTCATGACCTACCCACGACAGAACCATGTTGGCTGTCGCTCAAAATTTTGCCTTCTACTAGCTTATTGCATAAACAAGTATATTACTTTATATTTATTAGTATAAGCAAGTACTAAATGACTCTGCAGTAACCAGAGTTACTGCACAGTAGCACTGTGGAATGGCTTTTTTGTGATGCTGACTGCACAGTAGCTCGTGACTACTGTGCAGTAGCATTTCATTGCGTTCCTGCCACATGATGCTACTGTGCAGTAGTCATGAGCTACTGTGCTGTCAGTGTCTCATGTAGACATGGCCAGCTTGTCCAGCTTAGAGTGCCATGGGTGTATTCTTTTACGTCAGGCATTAGAATACAGACTCATGATTTTGAATATTGTATTTTTTTTTTTGCTTTTTTTGTTTCTCAGAAAGGGGAGAAAAGGGTGAAGGGGATGAAAGCTCATTAAAATTGTTCAAGAAAGAGTTGGAAACAATCCAGATATATCAGCTCAAGTAGTAACTAGTGAGAGTGCCGTCGAAGTAAGAAAAATTCAGCATAGTTCCTCCTAGCTCAGGCACAAGGGTTTGTACTTGGTGAGTTCTTAGTATCCTATTAGACTTGCAGGGATATGCTTTGATTTTCACATGCAGTGCTATGCATAATTCACACTCAACAAGCCAAGCCACTAATTGGTTAAGTTTGCTTTGTCTGGCCACCAGTTGGCAATACAAAAATGCAAAATAGATCCCTTTCAGGATGTTTATTTTCACATCCTTCCGAAACTGATAACTTGCAATTGCAAAATAATCCTTCATGTGTGGCATATTAGTTCCCATTTTTCATGGTTTCATATCTTAATTGTTTCAGATCTTACTGGTTTTAAGATTAGTGTCAAATGTTTCCCTTTTGTGTAAATTCTATTGTCAGGCTAGGTGACGATTTTATTTTTAAACAATAACTCAAGAAGTTCACTACTGAATCAGCAAAATATTAACTTTAACAAAAAAGAAATCGCTATACAATGACAGAGTATAATTTCTTATCGTTAGAAAGGATATTAACTGAACTGTGCTTTATTTAATAACCAATACTCAGTAAAACTGGACAAAAAAATTCCAATGAGAAATAATGTTGTTACTGGTGTGTTGCATCTGGTAAGAGCATCACAATTCTTCAGTAATATTATTTTTAACACAACTTACAGGATTTATATTTTCCAGTACAATTACCAGGGTACTTTTATCAGCATTTCTAGCAACAGGAATAATGCTGTTTCATGCAAACACAAGACTTTTGATTTTTGAAGTGAGGGATGGCAACATCCCTACGAGTCAGTTAGTAAGTGTTATGCATGCTTACAGATGATGAACTGAGGCATAGTGTGAAAGTGACCCAAGATCAGAGAGAAGGCAAACAGCACTCAGAATTACAACTCAAACATTACTGTGTCCTGGGCACTAGACCAGTGCTCTCTCATAGCTAAAACTAAAAATCTGTTTTGTAGTAGGATATAGTTGAATTTTATAGCTGGAAACATAGCTGCTGATTTATTTATTTTTTTGAGGCACAGACAACCCATGAGCAGGAGTTTACCTTTTTATACAGTATATTGCTGCTTTTAAAAAAAATCTGCTCCTTTAAAATGACTAGGTTATTTGTATCACCGATTCCCAATGAACGTTAATATGCAAGCATTTTCAGGACACTGTATAGGTAGGTACTGAGTATGGTAACAAGTATAACTTGGTAAATGACTGTACTTTAGACTCGTATTATGTACTGTGTGCACAAAACTATATTCACTTTTTAAAACGAAAAAAATACAAATCTTCTGAAGGCAGTGAAATGCCTATAACAGTTTAAATCAGAAAAAGCGAGTTAAGCCTGAGGCTATGTTTGATTTAACATCTTACCTGTAGGTACTGAAGTTAACCTGTTTCTTAAATCAAGTGGCCCAAGACCACTTGAGACAGAAAGAAGCATTATCTTGGCAGAAGGAGATAAGACTCAATTCTAACATACCTCTGAATTGCCTACTTTTTGGGGTAGCTATGGATGTTAAAACCACACTCAAATGTTATTTTAACAGTTATCTGTATTTAAACTATTCTTCCACTAAAACATCACTATGTAAATAGACCCTCATCCCTTTATCTTGACAACTATCTATAGTGGACTTCACAGACTAAACTCCATTTACGATAACAAAACTAGACCATTAGCACAGCCTGTTCCCTTCTGCTACAGAAATTTCCTTTTCTCATGCAATGTATTGCAGCAGATCAGAAGCTACCTCCTGTCTTCTCTCTCTCTCTCACGCACAGATTTGTTATTTACCACTTCGAGCAGGATCTTTTGCATTCATTATCTAAAAAAAATTTACAAAATCAGAGTCTGCTGATAGTGTACTATACCGAAAATGGGTACAATATGTAGAAATCCATGTGAATGAGTCAGATCAGTCAGTGGTACTCAGTGCTCATGTATTTGGCCACAGTTCTCATGACCCCAAAGCCTCCTTCTATATAATTAATTCTGCATATACAGCATGTTTGGCCCTACATATTTGTTAACTATGTTTTTCCTATTCTAGCAGTGGTATAAAACTTTGAGTTACAGCAGTAGAGGACATTTCAGCAGACACAGTTTTAGTAGTATTTCATCTTGGAGGGGCTTTTCTTCCTTGTGGAAACCAGTGCAATCCTATGACTCTACACTATACTCCTTGCGCTCCCAAACCACCACTTTTTAGTGTTTGTTTGACAGGTGCAAAAAAAGGCCTCTGGAGACCCATCAGACAAACCCTTCATTATGTGAGGAGCACTTACTCAAACAAGCAGTCCCACAGGATTTCATTTAAAAATCAATAAGAGTTTACTTTACTAGGGGTTGAGTAAGGGCTTCATGATGTTACCATAAGCACCAATCTTTCAAAAGGGATATTGTGAAGAAGACCTTTATGTCCATGTGCAGTCAATGAATAGATACCACAAGGACTTAAGGATCAACTTCTGCAGGATGTTGGAAAGAATATTCTGACGTATAAAGAGAATTTCCACAGGAAATCTTTCTCCCAATTTTTCAGTTTTGTTTTACTCATTTCTGGTTTTGCACAATACTATGTGCTCAGCAGGGCATGAACTACAGGCCTGCCGCTGCTCCCACTGAAGTCAGGTCCTTTGCAGTACCTGTAATATTCACTACAGTCCAAAATTTATAAAAGCAACACAGATAAAAGTTAGAATAATCAGGGGCATATTAAGCCCATGATCCACTAAAATAACCAGAGAAGTTACAATTTACCTACGAGCACATTATTAATTTTAAAATTAGGAGAAATAATGTAATTCTCTGAAATTTTAAATAGGGGTTAAGGAATAAATATTGTTAGATATATTTTTCCAAGATTTAATTTGTGACGTGCACTAAAATGAATTATTCAATTGCATTTTTTAAAAATAAATTGCACTGAGCAGCACTTTTTTTTTTTTTTTTTTAAAGGGACAGGCAGCGGGACACTGAGAAGCACAATGAACAGACATAGAAAGCAGTTTACTTGTGGAGGACGGTTAGGCGGTGTGCTTATGAGAGGTGCTGGGCCCATGGCAGAGGCTGCATTCAAGCTCCTTTCCCTTTCGTCCTGGTAAATTCGATCTCGTTCAGCTTCTGGCAGCTGCAAGAAGTTCTGCATAGCCCGAAGGTTTACCAGTAAGGACTGCGAGGCAGTCTTGGGATCCTCTTCCTTTCGGAGGATTTCTGAAAGCAAGCCCTGTGGGGGTGGGAAGACAGATGCTGAAGAGTTAGCCTGTGCGAGCTTTGGAAAAAATGTGCTCTGCAAAGCCATTCCTAATCTTTCCTTTTTTCCTTTCCACTGAGTTTAAAACATCCAGTCAAATGTATCTGCTCTGCATAGGAATATATTAATGACAATTTAGGTAGTGGAGAAGAGAGCCTCAATTGTATTCTTAATTTTATTAAGCATCTGCTTTACATACAACATAAACTGATTCTGCTTAATTGGTCTCTTTCCTTTTACTAGCTTAACTTGCCATGGAATCTTTCAGTCAGACAATCACAAGAAGTTAAGAATAAGTGAAATTCACATAGAGCAATGGCATTAGATTATGTAGTTCTCATGCCAGCTAGACAAAGACTGCAGTTCACTCTAGAGCAATGGAAAGCTACTTCTAGAAACTCAGGCAACGCTTTGAAAGAAAGTGATATTTGAAAACTAATCTCAATGGATTAACAAATAATGCTCCTAAAGCACTGGTTACTGATGAAGATTCATAGTTATTATATGTCAACATTTCCCTCCCAAATAATAAAAAAACCCCATAATCACCACCAAATGGACTTTTCGATTTAATATCTGGAAAACTGAAGTGACGAAAGTCCACTATGTGCAATAGGTATTGTTCTGAAAGGATCATGGCTTCAACTTTAGTGAAGAAAGGAGAAATTTCCTGGAGAAATGTTTTAGCATTAAGGGAGGCTGAGGTGGGCATGGTTGTGTGACGAGTTCTGTAGTAGTTACTTAAAACAGTATGTGGTATGTGGATTGCAATGAGGATGAGGAAACTTTCCTGAGTGCTTGCAATGCAACTGACAAACTAAGTGAGACGAGGGTCTGCTGGGGCACACATTGCTAGCTTTGCTACCATTGCCAATGTTAGGAAAAGCAATGTCTCTTTTTCCTCCCTAATCCTCCTGCCCCATGCTCTGCCCATATCTTCTTAATGCAAGATCAGACTGCTTCCAAAATGGTGTCTGATTTATTAGTGTCTTATGGTCACCCATGTAACTGTTTCATCAAACAGCTCCAGCATTTGGGTTCCATCTTCTCAATCCACCAATAGTATCAACCAATGCTTCTCTGTCTTAGTTTTCAAAGTCCATCAGACATATGACATTAGAGATTAAGACATTTAATGTTTTAAGGTGAGATTTTTAGACCAAAGGACAAAAGCAATACAGGGGATGTATAATAGGAAGGAGATGGAAAGCTCAAGGATAGGCAGGAAGCAGATTGTGGGAACAGCGATAAGATGTCCAGCCACTAGCTCAAATGACAACATGCTGGTTCCAGTAAAGCCATTTGTGCTAGGGACAGACATTACACACAAACCAGTTTAAGCGATCAGAAACTGGTTTAAATCTGTAACAGAACAGATGTTCAGTGTACATAAACCAGTTTCAAAATGGCTGAAACTGGTTTAAGATAAACCTGGTTGAATATAGTATCAGACTTAACTGATTTGGGTTAAACTAGTTTATGCAATGTCTGTTCCACACCTCTTCCTGGTTTAAGTTAAACCAGAGTCCTCCAGCATCCCGGATGCCTTGCAGCCCTGGCTGGGCTGCACTGGGCTGTGTTGTCTACTCCAGAGAACAGGGCTGGCCCCACCCCTCTGCTCCCTAGCCAGAGCTCTGACGTAAACTGCAGGCACAGTAGGGTCCCCCTGCCTGGCCCCCTCCTCGCCACTCAAGTAGGGATCCCCGCCCCATATCCTATAGCATAGACTCCAGCCCCACAGACTCTAGGCATGTGGTATGCTACCTAATGCTGAGAGAGGTAGAGGGAAGGCTGTGTGTGTGTGTGTGTGTGTGTGTGTGTGGGTGTGTGTGTGTGTGTGTGTGTGTGTGTGTGTGTGTGTGTGTGTGTGTGTGTCCAGTTTCATTGGGACAGGCAGACAGAACAGTGTCCACTTAGAGCTTTTTGGAGCTAATCAACAGGTCAGCTGGCAATGTCCCTCCTTCCTTGGAAAAAGCTGTTTAAGAGCTTGAATTAATGAGAGGCTTTTGTTTTGTTGATGGGCTGATAAACAATGTGTTATTATCTTTTTGCTGGCTCCTGCACCTGTCAGGTTTGCAGACAGTATGAAGAAGCAGGGACAGTGAGATTGTAAAGCTTAGTATCATCAACAGATGCATGCAATGTACACATCACTTTTGTCTCAGAGTGCTAGCTGGGGGCTGGCAACACTTTGGCCCTTGAGCAGCGAGAGGGGAAAAGACTGGGACGGTGCAGGCAGTGTGGGGGTTTAAACCTCTTCCTAATATCAGAGGTCCTGCCAGGGCCTGGCCATGCCCCACCTCAGGTCACCACTGTGGAAAGGGATGGCAGGCTGCTCTAGCATCCCCCACCGTCTAGCCTGAGCTACTTCAGGCATGTGCATGTATTTCCTCAGTCCAGAGGGAATGTCTGTACAGTTGCAAACTGATTCAATCTAGACAGGTTAGATTAATCTGCAAAGATTGAATCAATTCAGGCTCAGGCTTTTTGAATGTCTGGTCCCTAGCCTTGGAGTTGATTCAGCTCCCAACCCCAAAGAACACCATGTAGAATTTCTCTCATCCCTGACCCTTTCACCCCACAGGCTTTGGAGTGAGTGAGTGAGTGAGTGAGTGAGTGTGTGTGTGTGTTGGGGGGGGGGTGGGGATTTTTGCAAGATTTGGCAGCATCTACCACAGGGGTTCCCAAACTGTGGTACATGTACCCCTGGGGGTATGCAAGACATCTCTTGGGGGGGTAAACAGAAGAAATTGTGTAATGGCAGATTTAATTTTCATTATAATAGTTGGCATTAAGGGCTTAAAATATAAAATGTATGCTGGTAGGGGTACATGGGCACCTGGTAAATCTGGAAGCAGGAACACAAGAAGAAGTAGTGTGGGAACCTCTGGTGTACCACTAAGGTAGAACGTCAAAATATGGGCAATGATTTTGGCCAGGTTATAGGAATATTATTTTTGATGTTTGGACTCAAGAATACCCTTTGCTAAAAGTAAGTGTAAGAAATTTCCATTTGTCAATTTGCTAAAAATCACTGAATTCTTTGAAAACAAAACAACACCAAAAACCAAAAAAACCCATTGCTCTGAATGCCTGTTAGCAGTGGGTCCACTCCCCAGTACTTCAAGGATTTTAAAAAAAGGTTTAATTGCTATTGTAGTTTATCTAGATACAGCCATTTTCAGCACACATTAAGTGTGCTTGGGATGCTCATATATGCTTTCTGCAACAGCCCTGAAAAGGAGCATACGTATGATAAATAAAGCGTGATACTAGTGGATTAGCCAGGAGTACGACATAAAACGTGCAGCTGACAATTCCTTGTCAACAAAGGGTCAGTCATTTTACTACAGAAGTTGTATCTTCTGAGGCAATAAGTATCATAAATAGAAATTTTTAGGCATAATCTAGCCAAGAAAATATTTGTTCACGTAGCTATACTGGTAAACTCTCCTGGCATAGCTGCAGCTTATACTAGCTGAAGAATGACTATTGCTGGCAAAACTTATGACACCTTATGCTTCCTGAAGTCTCCTCATACCATCTGATGAAGTAAGATGCTGCTCACAAAAGCTTAAGCATCTATAATTTAGTCTATAAAGTGCAAATCTACCCTGCTTTCTACCAAAATAAGCTGGACGAAGAAAAGAGTCTTTAGTCAATAAAAGTGTTTCTTCATGAAGACTCTTAGTGGTTATAAAAAAAAGGATAAAAAAACCCAACACACACACACTCTCTCTCACTCAATACTATTGCACTGTTAAAAATGTTAAGCATAGGTTAAGTATATGTCTTTAGCATTGGTTGTGAAGACACCAGTTAACACAGATTTCCAGGAATTTCAAATCTCAGGTCATATGAATACAGACATACCAACAGTGTGTATGTGCATGTGTGTGGGGCAGGGTGGGGGGAGAGAAGAGGGGGCACTGTCCCACAGCCCGACTCCATAATACATGGCTTTAGCTTGTGTTACTAGTATTTTTCTTTTCTGAGCACTTCAAAATTTTGTCATATCCTTTTTAGCTGAATTTTAACCAGCAAAACTCCAGAAATGTGCATTAAACCCAGCACTTTGACAAAGGGTTACCATTAATTTAACATATTTTAAGTACTTTGTCAAGATGCAATTCTTGGTGTGCTCTCCTGATAGCATAGTTAAGTCTGTCTGAACACTAAATGCAGTTTTTCATGCCTAACTAATGTTGGTTACCCTGAAAGTACCATTTTTCCCTTACAGCAAAAATGAATTTTTAGACATTACCAAGTTTACAAAAGGAAAAAAAAAAAAAATGAGTTTACAAGTCATCACAAGTATAATTCATTACTAATTGCACAAAAATGTTCAATAAATATTATCTGTGCTTTCAAAAGCTAATTATGAATTCTTTAAAATGGGAGATAAATGAAAGTGTCTGCCAACATGAAAAAAAAATTGCCTGTCTGGCCCCCAGTTAGTCTCCTCTTTGAATGTAATCACTGATTCAAATAGATTTTATCAGCCTCACGGAACTTCAAAGCTCCCTGAAGAAAAATTTGATTTGCTAAAACCTCCCCAAAATATGCAGAACATCCTTGAATGCTATCTGCCTCCATTGCAGTGTGCTTAAATCACATGTCCAGGTGGAAGATTATTTGCAAGCTCCACCCACAAGTTTGGATCCCTGCCAAGTAAGTTATAAGCAGACACATTTATCTATGTTACTTAGTAGTAAGCGGAGAGCTGTCATGATAGTGTAATAGCACCTTTTTACCTTTTATTCAATAGTGATATGGATAGTGTGCTTTTTCTTAAATTACACTACGAAGAATTATATGAACACAGTGGCAATTTCTGTTATACTTAAGCAGGCAAATTTCCCTCCACCACATAATTTACAGAACTCAAATTCAATAAAACATTACATGATGGTCCATTACTGTTATCAATTTTGAATAATCCATCTTCATTCTTCATTTTACTGGAAAATAAA